TTGGATATATGGCAGCAATGTAGTTATGATTTCAACAATCTATCAGGTAGATGAGAGATCAATGCATGTGTAATATCATGAATTAATATCAAAATCATGCGTTTTCTGCAGAGCAATGTTATTTTAATATTGCATATGAGTTTCATATGATTATATAACTAACAAATAGCTTTTGAACGTAAGCATCATAACATAAAGTAAATAAATTAATATGGTACATGATTTTTATAGGGAAGAGTTTAAATGCAACACTCCACCAAGGAGCCTAAAATGGCCTAAAAAGTGTTGGAGATGCTTGCCATAATGTATTTAAAACTTCACTCTTTTTACTTCTTGAAGATACATTCCTGGAAAAAATTCTCTTGAAATTAATGTAGTCCATAGTTTTTCCAAGTATTAGAAATGCTAATTAATTCTTGCTTGCTTTATGTCTGTAATGAGGGGTCAGAGGCGTGCGGATCCATTTGCAGCTTTTATTAAAATAAATGGCAGAGTCAAACAGGCAGTAATCAATCACTGGCGTCAGGAACAACAGGGACAATCCAGGAGAGTAAACAGTAACAGAGCGAGGGTCGGGGCAGGCGGCAGAGAATCACACTAGGATGAACAGTCCACGGTAATACACGAGAGATCAAAAAAGACGGGATAAACGGTCAGAGATGTTAGCCGTGGCAAAACAAGACTTCATGAAAACGAAGAGTCTGGATGCTGCTTAAATGGGGAAGCTAAGGGGAAAAACGATTTGCAGCTTTTCTTAGAATCAATGGCAGAGTCAAACAGGCAGTAATCAATCATCAGCATCAGGAACAACAGGGACAATCCAGGAGAGTAAACAGTAACAGAGCGAGGGTCGGGGCAGGCGGCAGAGAATCACACTAGGATGAACAGTCCACGGTAATACACGAGAGATCAAAAAAGACGGGATAAACGGTCAGAGATGTTAGCCGTGGCAAAACAAGACTTCATGAAAACGAAGAGTCTGGATGCTGCTTAAATGGGGAAGCTAAGGGGAAACACCTGTGCCAGTAATCAGTCCTAGGTACGGGGTGTATGGGAAATGGAGTCCATATACGCTAGTACTCAGGAGAGGGTGCCCTCCGGTGGCGGTCGGAGAGAGCCACAGAGGCCTGATTTGTGACAGAGCCTCCTCC